GTGTTATCTATAAACATGACAGGTACTTTAGATGACAAAAAGCTTTCAGTTTTTGAATGGTTTTAATATCATGGCTAAATATGGTTGATTTTCAAGTGTGTGTGCGTGTGTGTGTGTGTGTGTGTGTGTGTGGTGAGAGAGAGAGAGAGAGAGAGAGAGAGAGAGAGAGAGTGAGAGAGAATGCGCGCACGCACTCCCACTCTCCTGTCCAAGTCATAACGACTCTTCTGAGAGAGGCATGATCCCGTGATTGTCACAGCTTTCTTCCTGAACTGGCATTCATGGCTTATCATTGTGTTGAGTTTGTATATTGAAAGATGAAAAGGAACAAAAAGTGGCATTCATATGACAGTAGAACAGACTGAACTGTGACTTCTATTGCTCCACATGGAAGCTGGCTTATGGTCTACCTCGTCCCTCATCCTATTACATTTCCTACAGAACAGAGCGCGAGACTCCAGGCGGTTACACTGGGGTGGAGAGAGGTGACAAACTGTGATGCCCGCCCCTCCTCCTGGCTTCCCCAGCCCCTCATGTGAGCCTCCCATCTGATCAGATGTCTGACTCCTCTTGTTTGCCCCATAGCAGCTCATTTTGCAGGTGACAACAGTGAGGCCCAGGGAGGTTAGGTCACTTGCCATCCTCAGGCGCTGCTCAGTGGGGGATGTGGGAGCCAAGCTCAGTGGCTGTTGTTTAAGATCTGGGCTCAGTGCACCAGAGGGTTCTGCTACATCCTTCTCCCTATGCCTCTCAGTGGGAGCTTATGGGAGTCAGCCTTCTAGGCCTGGGAGGAACAGCAAAAGAAGGGAGTCAATCCCTACTGGCCTAGGAGGTGGAGCACTAGCTAAAAGCACCCACTGGGAACTGACTGGTGTTTGGACTCCAAGTTCAATGCTTTTGGTCCCCCTTCCTGGTGATCCTGGGAATTGCTAAATAAATGACCCCAGTCTTAACCTGTGCACACATCTGTGCTGACCCAGTTCAATCTGGAGTAGTTAATCTGTACCTTTTCCCCACAGTCATGAATGTGGGCTTGCATTTGCAAAGCCTCTGAAACAGCCTGACTACAAATCAGTGAACCTTCAGGGGTGGTGAGAACCAGGTCCTCACATCTTTCCGAGCCCTTGTGTTCGGCGCTAATGTTGATTTGTAAAGTGCTTTATGATTTATTCATAGTGCCTTGCCAGGCTTCCCAGGACAACCTTCCCCTCACACAAATGAGTGCAACTCCAAGAATAAAATGTCAGGCTTCATTAAAAGAAAAAGAAAAAGAACAAGAAAAACCTCTGGTGTGGGGATGTCCCTTCTATTGCTCCCTCGCCTGCGTCACCCAGGTTTGGGGGATTCGGATGAACCTCCCGTGCTCTCACAGCCTGCGGCAGGTGAGCTCAGAGCGATGTCAGGCGCTTCTTTCGGCAGGGGCAGAGATTCCCCCAGGATGGACCTCGAGTCTGCCCCACTGAGACATGAATTTGGGCCAGTGGATGTGTTCCCAGGAAGCAGACAGTGAGTGAGGAGGTATCTGAGGAGAGGTGGACCCCTGTGGTCTGAACTTGTTCCCCTGATCTCTGCTGGGAGATGAGCAGGTCCCTGAGCTCTCAGGGATGCCTCAGAGCATGAATCAGCAGTTGTGAGCTAGCCCAGGTACCACTTTCACTTTCATTACTGTCCTCATCACAGTCTCCTCAGATGTGGGGAGGGTAACCCCAAGCACAGAGGGGAGAAGGAAATCCTCCTTTCCTTGCTCAGCCTTACTCAGGCCTCCCCAGGAAAGCTGACCACAGGCAAACACAGTGCCCATGAAATCACCACAGGGCACAGACATGTACTGCAGAAGTGGAGTGACTTCATGGGTTAAAACTCCAGACCCAGAAAGAATCCAGAAACTGCATCCTCTCCCTCCTGCAAGAACATCATGGTCTTGAGGGGGGAAACCGTGAAGCCATAGGACTTTAGAGCCTCTCAACTTCTTTGAAAGCTGACTCCAGTTATCCTGGTGCCAGATTCTTGAGTTTACCCCCCGTAAACCTCACAAGGGCAGAATAAAAAGGGTGGGGGGCAGTGCTGGACCAGGAATAAAAAGCTGAGTAGAAGCTTGAACCAAGTGAGCTGGAACTCTCCAGGTTCACCCCAGAGAGAAGGGGTGCCCGGGCACCCCAGGGACCTCACTACCATCTGGGGTTTCAGAGATGTGGCAACATACTCCTCCAATGGAAACTTTCTGACAAAATAAGTGCTCTGTGGACATTTCACTTGCTGGACAATTCACACAAAAGTCACTGGTAGCAGGAATAATTTCTTGAGGCCGGGTAACAGTCCAACCTAAGGGAGTTAGAGGGTATTACTATGGGCCACAGGAAATTCTGGGGCTTCCTTCTTTTCCCAGGGACTTGCCTCCTTGCCACATGCCGTCCCAGAGCATAGGGACCCGACACTATCCTGAGTCCCAAAGTGTGAATGGTGACCTGCAGCAGGTTGCAGAGGCCTCATCATCCTTCACTGCCAACTCTCATTCATTGTCATCCAGGAGTGGGTGACACTGAGGCTTGGGAGCCACAATTGCAATCTACAAGAGACCACTTTGCAAAAACAGGGCTATCTGGCTCTGAACATCTTAGAAGAAAACAGCAACGGCAAAAGACTTTCACTTTTAGATTAATCTGGTTAATGCCCATCCCTTCATCATCCTATCTGGCTCTGCTCCTCCAGGCTAGGAATTAGATGAATTATTGCATTTGGGGCAATAGAGAGGGTCACATGGCTAATCCAATTTTGAGAGAGCACAATGGTCAAGTCAAGTTGGATGACCCCAAGTGGTCATCCTCATTGTAAAAATTAAGCCAATGATATTTTCAACTGAGAGCTAATTATACATGATTGCTAAATAATGTATAAACTCTTTAAAAAAAATCACCACTACCAACACCACACCACCAACTAGGTACCAACATCATAGAACATTATTTAGGTTCCAAGATACTATTTCTAAAATATAGCAAAATAAATTACACAGTCCTGGGCTTCCTTCCGTAGAAGTGATTGGGTTCCCAAGGGAACAAACACGGGTTCTTGAATGTGAAAAAATATTACTCTTTTTATGTATAAACTATAGAAATGTATATAACAGAAAAAATACACTATAGCTTTAGATTAAAAGTAGTATTAAAATTTCATGACAATATAATTAGGAAAAAAGTCTAAAAAACTCCTTACGTAGGACATTAAGGAATAAAGCTTGAGAAACACTATTTAAATAGAAAATAACAGCTACGATCTGTACTAGACGATTGGAAGTCATCCACAGACAATTCCCATCGTGTTCTGTCATGTTTCCTGAGGAAGAGGGTAGGATTTGCTCCTTCTTACTCAGCTCTGACCCTGACCCCAGAGCTAAACCTTCTCTGGTGGGCGATTTCTCTACCTCCCACTTTCTAGGTTATACGATCAGTTCTTGGCCTGTTAAATCCATGGTCTGAATTTTACAGGCAACATTTGGTCCATCTTGGTCTTGAAGCAACACCCTATGAACTACCCTGCTGAAATGCCTGCATGGCTGGATGGCTTGTCGCCTGTCTGTCTAGGTGTTTCATGCATTCCTGGGTTCAGATCTACATTAGTGCTGATGGGGGTCACTGAGAAACCCCATCTCACAGACCACTGGGAGATGCAGGTAACTTACGGTGCAAAGTGTTTCAAAAGTCTTTTCAGAGACGAAGGATCCATCAAGGCCAAAGAGAAATATGGATGCATAGGAGAGCATTCCTCCAAGGATAATAAGGTTGTTCATATATGGGCTTGACATCTTTATCAGCCTGTCAAGAGAAGGAGGTAACAGTCAACAGGACTGGAAATGGACTTGTTCCTTCAGCATGTACTTCTGAGTGCCAGGGTTGGTGCCAGATGAGAGCAGGAGACAACAGTGTAAGCCTAGACCTCCGCTGCCCCCTCCCCAGGACAGTGCTGCCCCTAGGGCTGTTACCTGTTCTCTGAAGGATCCCAAGCAACTATAATTCTTTAATGGTGATTTTTCTGCCCCTCAGCCCCTCAGTCAAGTTCACCTATCACTTCTCTCGAAATAGCTTATAGCATAGCTTCTACAATCACTAATTTTCACTTTAAACATATTAAGTCAAAACTTTTTTTTTTTTGGACTGGGGCTGATATATATGCCAAATCTAGAGAATTCTACATTTAAGCTCAGTGAGGGGGCAGATGGCCACAGCACACTGTTCCCCTACTAAGTACCCCAGGCTAGGAAGTTTACAGGTGAGAATGCACCTCGGGAATTGTGGCCACCAGCTGGTGAACGAGACCCCATTTTGGCTGCCAGAAGTTCATTTTGTCCATGCGTGGAGGACGCCATGTACAGGTAGAACATCTCCCCCCGACACCAGGTGATGGAGGTGGACCACGGTGTCCCATCCCACCCTTGCCCCGATCTTCACCAGGCTGCTCATGGGGCCATTCCTTATATTCCCAAGCCCGTCATGCTTCTCTCTCACTGTCTTCAGAATCCTGCTGTGGCTCCTAGCTTCTCAGCAAGCCAGGACTGGATTAAGCCAGCTGAGTTTACCCTCAGCGGCGCCTGACTTCCCTAACACAATCCAGGTCCACTGTCCTCTGAATATTTCCTGTTGCATCCTTCAACTCTTTTAATCCTCCCATATGTTAAAAACACAGTGCATTAAAGTGGTAGAGAGATGTATTAAACACAATGTATTAAAGTGGTAAAGCCTGCCGCAAACTGTGGACACACACAGGCTTTCAAGTGGGGAGCACTAGGTTTAGAGGTGCACCCTGGGAAGGCCCCTTAAACTGGCTGTTCCCCCACGTGTGAGCCAGGAGCACAGATCTAGGACACATGGAAGGCTGCAGTGACACTGGGTCCCTGTTCCTGATCAGCCATCAGCTGCTAAGCCACCTTCATTCTGGTTTCTACCAGAAACTGTGAGGGGAGATGCCAGAACTTGGCAGGCTTCCTGGAGGTGGTAAACTTTAGCGGATGGGGACCATTTAGGAGCACAGCAGTAAAGGGGCATTCAGAACCACAGTGACATTGACTTCCTATCTCCTGGCAGATTTTTCAGTCTGTAAAGCTAGTCAAAAGTGATGGATGCCAGGCTACTGGAAAGACTATCAGTCATTTCCTCCAGGAGGTCAAGAGGGATTAGTTAAGGAATTAAAGGAGTTTCGTCTCATGATTGGGGCGACTTGCCATCGGGAGATGCTTGACATGTTCAGGAGGGGACCTAACCCTCATCCAAACTGCCTCTGTGCCTATGCCTTGTGCCAGATGCTCTCGGGTACGCTCACCACTACTTCAGCTTTGAGGCAGGATATGTGTTATAGGAGATAAATACAGTAAAATTCTTTTTTGATTTCCAGGAAACAGATTTACTGAAGCAAGTCATCTCCCGACCCCCAAACAAATAAACAAACATACTGAAAGTGACAAGAAATCTAGAGCCTCTAACTACCTTTGCTGCAAGCAAGGAGATGGAAAACACACACACACACACACACACACACACACACACACTCTGTTTCTGGCCCCTGGGGAGGTTCCCCAATGTGCCTTCTGGGCTCAAAGGCAGGGCCTAGGTGCGAGTGAGTGAATACAAGCCTGTGTCACCAATGGCGCCCCCCACCCTGCTCTGAGCCCCCTGCTCAGCTGAGCCCACAAGGCAGGGAGCTAGGCTTGGGGATTTGCTATGGAAACCCAAGTAGCTGGCTGTGTTTGACAAACGCCAAGGTGTGGGGTGGGGGCTGCTCTCCCCAAAACTGACCACGTTCACTGAGAGAAGGCGCTGCTCTCCTGCAAGACTGGAGGGCCTGTGTGGGCAGAGGAATGAGGTCAGAAACACAGGGGCAGGCCCGCCTCGGGCAGCAGGGTGGCTTTGCAAGGCAGCCCAGGGCACCTGGCTTTGGTGGTCTGTGTGCCTCTGGGGAGTTAGCCAGAGGGTGAACCGAGAGGATGCAAGGCAAGGGCTCCTTGGCTTGCACATGCTGCACTGAGAATTTGAGCTCAGAATCAGCTCGGCAACCCCCTTCTGCAGAGCTCCCGAAGATGCAGGGAAACACTGCTAGGAGAGTTCTGTCTTCTCTATGTCTCCCCATGGGCCACCACAAACATATTTTATTTAGCCTAATTTTCCTGGGCTGCAGAAGTCCTGCCCGTGTGTGTGTGTGTGTGTGTGTGTGTGTGTGTGAGAATGTGCACTAAAAATCCAGGAACATCCCAGTAACTGCAGGGCACACTTTAGAAACTCCTGTGCCCTGCAACCTGTCAAGCTCTGTTTCTAGACTTTGTCCACTAGGCCTGTCCATCCCGAAAGGGTTATCCAAGAGGACGGCACGGGCAGCTGGCTTACTTCTGATTTCGATTCTTGATGTTGAAGAAGAGAAAAGCACTGGCCATGATCATGCCCAGGATGGTGAGGGCAGAGAGGATGCTGTAGAGAGGCAGGGAGATCTTACGGAGCTGCTCCAGGATGATGGTTTTGTCTTTTGGTGGTTCAGATCCTAGAAGGCCAAGGAAAAGACATCAGCAGAGCCCAGCACAGTCAGTCCCTGAGAACATCTCTGTCCAATGCCCTTGGCCCTGGGCATGACTCTGCCCAGGACACACCTTCTGGGGCAGTGGGCTCCGGCAGCTGGCCAGTCAGCCCAGCGGGAAGCCTTAGCCAGATCTTATTTCTTTCTCTAAATAGAATCAATAAGGGATTTGTGATGCATTTAATAGTCATTAGAAGACTAGAATTTGATTTGGTCTAATTGTGCTGTTGAAAAACCATCACCATTTATCCCCAAAGGTAACAGTGACGTGGAAGGGCCTGGAGGAGATGCTGGAGGAGGCTGAGCTGGGTGCCGCTGCCAGGAGACTCTCAGCTCTGGCCTCTGCTCCACACAGGCCAGTGACGCCCTCTCAAAAGGGCGGCCACCTTGCTTGTCAATCCCGTCGAGGTGCGAATGTGATCTGTGTGTGGACTGTCAGCCTCAAGGTCACTCTGTTATAAATGCTCTTTCTGCCTTTCCGTTTTCGGAAGGCTGGCTAGCCGTGGGAAGTAGAAGCTCCCAGCATGCCTTCCCCTCCCTGCTGCCAGGGCTGGACTAAAACTGTGAGGCTCCAGTTCTCCATGGGACTGCAGGCCCTGGCTCCTTCTTCAAGGGCACTAAGAACCAGGGGTACCCCATGGGCCTCAGAGCAAACTCACCTCTGAGTTTGTCAAACCGAATGGCAGTATTGTCCCGCCTGTTTTACCTGGCACAAACTGCAGAAGTGCAGGCACTAACGTCCCTCTCTCCCTCCCCCCAATCTCTCACCCACCCCTTCTTTCTCATCTACTCCAGGTCATGTTTCTGCTGTGAAATTTTGAAACTTAGGGGACTGCCCTTCAGGTAGTGATGTTTGAGATCAACCAGCTGCCTGGGCGTGGCCGAACCTGGAGCTCAGGAGACCCACCAGGTGACAACCTTGTCCCCATTGTGTCACTGGTGCCAGGCTCAAGGATGCCTCTGTTTCCAGGAGGCAAGCAGAGGATGGGCAGATGCCAAAGCAGGCTTTGAGACCTCCTCCGAACATCTGTGCTTAAAAAAATATCTGCTAACAAGTTCAAATGTGTTTGGAAACAGTCAGTGGATAAAAAGAGTTTGAACCATCTATGCAGTCTAGGGAAGCTGCCAGGCCTGAGAAGAGCCAGGAACCTGCCGGCCTGGTTAATGCAAAGCTTCAAGCAGGTCTTTGTAAAATCGCATTTATGAGGTTTCAAGGGCCAAAAGTCAGGGCAGACGCAGACACTGGGTGATCAAGGGAGCAACACTTCTTGCTTTCAGAAGTGAAATCTTAACATCTAGAAACTTCTTTCTCCAAGCTCCTGTCTCCCCTACCCCTGCAGCCATGGCCTGGGCTGCTTTAGGGAGCCTTAGTGGCCTTCTGACTCCCAAACATGAGCAGTCCTGGGGGTACTCATAAGTTCTTAGCTGGAAACAAGCCCCATTCTGGGCTCCAAGAAAGGGGACCAAGGTTTGGATCAAACCCCAGAGGACAAGGCCACATGACAACTATGACCTGTAGCTGTTTGTATAGAAACAACTTCAGAAAGCTGACAACGTCTTCTCCTTAGTCCACCTCCCCGGACCCACTTTGGAGTCTCCACACTGTGGACCTTAACTGAGATGCTGTGGGAGCCAGAGTAAGGGCCACCGGAAGTACCAGTAATGGCAGCAGCCCAGGGTTGTCCTTCTTGCTCTTCGCCCACCCACTCACTCACTGTTCGTCCATTCATCACCATGCCTTCTCTCACTGTCTTTCCTTCACTGTCTTTGATGGTGATCAGCCTTCACATCACCTTCCACGTGCTAGGCCCGGTGCTGGGCAGCCAGTGACTCTAAGATAAGCAAGACACAGTCCCTGTCCTCAAGGAACTTCCAGGCTCAGCTTGAACAACCCCACTACTGACTGCTTGCCATGGGCTGAGCACTCTGTTGAAATTTCATACCTGATCCACCAACTGTTGCCTTGGGTCTAGACAAGCCCATTCCCAGCTTACAGCACGCAGGCATTTTATGGGCATTAAGTGGTTTTTATAGTTAGTAAGTGACAATGCTGGCTGAATTTGAACTCAGATTTGTACATGTTAGGTCCTGGCTGTTGCCAGGAATTTAAAGTCAAACAGAATGTAATCAGGGAGTTCATAGTCCAAAAATATAGACATTTCAGTGATCATGAGCCCATAGGAAAGGAAGACAGAAATAAAACTGGATAAGCCAAGACAAGGGAGTTATTAGCTTAGTTGGGGTTAATCAGGGAAGACTGCACGGAAGAGGTGTCTTTAGATCTGGCTCTAGAAGATGTGAGAAGTTCTCTAGCAGAACAAGAGAAAAGTGGTCTTCCAGGAAAAGACTTGGGGGGTGGGGTGGGAGGCCAAGACCTTCCTGGGAGCAGGGACACATTTAAAAGAATTACTCCGGGTCATCCAATGGCTTAAGCACATATCTTGGTGATGGTTCTCCATGCATAATCCAGTGACCCATACTAGGAGCTGGACCCTAGCTCCAAGTGACAGAGATTCTGGGCACAGTGCGACAGTGTTTTTATAAGAGGGAGGGATGTTTCTTTTCCCCCGAGAAGCCAAGGAATCTGAACTTATCCTTAGGTCTCAAACAACATCCAGTCCTGGGGGGCAAGTCCCTTCCTCCAAGAAGTCCACCTGTCTTACCTTGGAACCTGATGGTGTCATTGATGATCTCCAGGGTGTCGGCAACAGCGTTGTACTCTCCCACCTTCACCTCCCTGCTGTCTGTAGGGAGCAGGAGACAGTGTCAGGTTACAGCCAAGTCCTGAGCTTCTAACTGGGTGCTCCTATCCAGCTCTTGCTCTGCACACAGACCTGGCTATATTCTTGTAGGTTTGTCCTTTCCCCAGGGCTCTTTCCAGGTAGAATCACAAAAACCGAACACTGCTCATGCCAACTCACCCACCGCTTATGTGTCTTTTGCGGTTCACCTTACGGATGGGGTGCCTACTCCCCTCATTGCTGGACACTGCCTGTTCCCAAGGGAGCCAGGGTCCTTCCTGGTCATTGAGCTGGACAGTCTCTGTAACTTTTGCTGCCATTTGGCTCTGCTTTCTAGGCTCACACAGACCATCTCTGCTCATTCTGCCCAGAATAGATGATAATCACCACCGACCAGCCCCTGTACCCACTTTACATCCAGGCCACCCCATCTAGGCCCCTCCTTAAGTCTCACCCCAATAGTGCTGAAGCATAGTTAACATAGCTAAACATGGGCTAAGGACTGATCAAGGTGCTTCAGGCATGAGCTGGTCAGTCTGGTCAGCAAGAATAGGAGACCAAGTTCTCCTTCATTCTGGATGTTACGTTCCTATCCATGTATCCTGAGATGATTATCCTGCAATGCATCTGTCACCCTCAGAGTTCAGCTCCACTGAGTCACACAGGCTCAGTCTCCTCGATCAGCTCTTGTTCAGATGTGTTCTCAGACTAAGAGTTACATCTGATTAACCTCCATCCTCGCTGCTATTCTGCGGGTGTGTCTGGGTTATTGTTTTGGCCATTGCCAGGGATTAAGATGATGAGGACTGGCCCGGGGTAGGGGGTGGCAGGAGGAATGAAGATGGGGAGATCATATTTGACAAAGGTCCCCCCACCCCACCCCAGGTAAAATCTAGACAACTGAGTGATCGAATGGGTGGGGAAGACGGAAAACAGGGGAGCAAAGCAAGTGATTCGGGGGCTCTCGTGCCATTCCCTGTGTGGGGAACCAAAGAGGGGGGTCAACAAGTGGGTGGATGACAAGTTCTGATTTGGACATGTTGAACCTGAGGAGGCTGTGGGTCATCAAGGTGGAGATGCCCTTGGTCTGGAGCCAGAGGAGAGTGTTGGGGCCATTGACATGGAAGCTGGGAGCTGGAGCAGGGGACAGACAGGGTGGATATTCTCAGGGTGAGTCAAGTGAGAAGAAAAGATGACAAGGGCAGAATCCTGGGAGAGCCAACTTCTGGAGGGCGGACAGGGCCTAGACGCTGTAAGGAAATTGGGAAGGAATAGCCAGGAGGCTGGCAGCAGGATGCCAGGAGAGGGGGACCTCACAGAAGCCAGGGACAGGCCCAGCTACCGCGGCCACTCAGAGACTAGGATGCCAGGCCCTGGAGCAGGGGTGGCGGGGGCAGTAGATTTGGCATGTGCCAGGATACTGATGACTACAGAGAAAGCAGAGCTGGGGTAAGATTTGGGGGATAGAGGTGGAGAGCCACTGGCAAGGTGTTTGGGAGGAAAATGGAACCCCCAGGGTAGAACAGGCTTGATCCTGTTGTGGGGTGGGGGAGGAAGGGCCAAGGGGCTGCTCTGAGCTCCAGCAGTGTGCCTGGATCTGGGCCAGGAATTGCATGTCCCTTTTCTCATTTCGTTCTCACAACTGTGTGGTGTGGGTGGTTTCAGTCCTTGCCGGTTTCAGCACAGATGAGCAACAAGCTCGGTCGGGCAGGTGGTCAGGATGCCACAGAATACAAACCCAATCCCAAGACGTGTCCCACAGCCCATGCTCGCCCTGGCACGGTGGCTCCCTCCGTGGGACCATGAGAGCTGACAGTTCAGAGCAGAGCTGCTCTCTCCGTCCATCGCCTCCCCCCCAACCCCCGTCACCAGTGCCTCCTGCGTGTAATAACTGCAGACACCACCTGGCCCAGATCAAGGGCTGGCCCTCAGAGCAGAAGGGGTTCCAGAGCTGCAGGCCCAGCTCAGTGTGCCCCGAATTTATGAAGTGACACAAGCTGGCATTCCAGGTATGCATCCCAAGGAACTGCCTGCCGGCTCTGGCGCTCAGTGCACTTTGCTGAAATGCTGGTGTGCTGCGGGCTCCATAAACATGCGGGAAGCAGAACCGGGAATCCCAGAGGCCACATGTGTGCTGGGACTCTGCGGAGCAAAATAGGGCTGTGAAAGTCACTTCCTTCTCCTGCAAAGGTCTCGCTGCCTCACACTGAGCAGGCAACTGTCACTCGCTGGGTCACCCAGCTCCTAAATGTCACATTAGCAGACTCTGCTGGGAGCTCCAGCATCCCTCTTCTGGCCTTTTAAGTCTTCGGCCCCAGTCAGCTCCTACTGCTCAGAGGGGGAGGCCCTGATTTATTCATCTGGCTTGGGGAGGCAGCACATGAAATATGTAGACTGGCTGGGATAAATCATCAGGAGCTGGGAAGTGGTGTGGCTGCTCTGACCCCCAGGTCTCACGGTACCATCCATCCTGTAGCTCTTAGCTGCCGGCCTCCCTCGATGGCCATAATCACCAGAATGTCTCCTTGGGGCTGAGCCCGGAGGCTCACAGACACTTCACATGCTCTTGCGTTGGAGGCATAATGAGGGCAAACTGTGAGTCAGGCCTCATTCTCTCCAGTCCAGGGTGAGGAAGGAGCTTGTGAGTTAGGAGATGCCTCAAGGCCATGTGCTGGGCTACTGGACAGAGGACCAGGGGGCACCTGAGCTTGGGTCCCCAGGTTCTGTACTCAGAGCACATTCCTCAGCCACCCTGAGCACACTGCTGCTCATTCAGCCCCATCTAGTAAGTGCCCATTGCCCTGAGTGCTTGGATAGAGCATGATAAAGAACCTTCAGAAGCAATAACGGTTAAGATTGTCTCCACATCCTTATCCACCATGGCTCAGATATTCTCAGCACTAAAGGATGCTTATGTTAAATACTTTAATCACTTCATTCATTCATTCATTCATTCATTCATTCATTCATTCATATAATTCAAGATAATTCCAGAAACATTGATTGGGGCATCCATAAGAGCCAGGCTCTATGCTGGTGGCTGTGGATACACAGATTAAAAATAAAATCATAATCTCTGACCCTATAACTTAGTGACTGCAGCCCCACCAATCCTAATAGGGAGTTGAAATTATTCAATGTGCAGAGTATATTCCTTTCCAGCCAGTCGTACCCTGTGAGCAGGTGGCCATAACTGTAAAGTGGCAACTTTAAGAGTAGTCCTAAGTGTTAAAGAGGAGAACAGAGGCAGTTTCTGGCTGAGGGATAACTCGTGGTCAGTGTTCCATAAATCGTAGCTATTTGAGTCGTGAGAAAACTTACTAGGAGCGATTTGCTAGGTCCCCAATCACCCTGTCTCTTACACCATAGCTCTCTGTAATGGTCCCTCTGCTTGGCAGGTGGTTTCCCCTCCCTCTTTGAAAGCAACATGCCCTAACCCTACCTGTCGCTTCCCAGAGTCATGAGAAAGCCTTCCCTGGGTACTGTTCTCCCTTCCAGCACCCCTGGTGCTGTGGGTACAGGGTACCTGGTGACAGAGCTGCAGTCTAGGTGTGCCCAGGTCTTATGATAACTGGGTAGAATTTGAAGCCTTCCTTCTCAAGTCCAGGGAGTATAGGGTCTCACTCCCTGTGTTCTAGCCAGGGCCCCTCCTGGGGCTGCGGGTGGACAGTTCTCCCATTCACTCACAGCCCAGCATGGGGAAGAGGGTGACTACAACAGCACATTCAACTTTGAATTCCTGGGCTTCTTATAAACACCTTTGTGCAAACAACATTAACCACTCACATGGATACTGACTGGGGCTTGCAGAGTGTGGACCAGGGTCTTCTGGAAAGAGCCATAGGATGGGTAAGGTGGTTGGGGGGATGGAGCAGAGGGAGAGAGGCTGTGAGGTGAGGCCTGTCACCGGCTGACCTGCCCCATGAGCCCTGCTGCAGGGGCCATGGACTCACTGTGTGACTTGTACTTGTTCTGGGCCTCAGTTTCTCCATCTACAAATTGCACTGCAGAGATTCCAGCAGCTCTCATGCCCGGGTGGATATTAGAGTCACTGGGGAACTTCTGGAAACACTTCTGGTGCCCACATAGACTCATGTACTAGAAGCCCTGGGGATTTAGAGATGGATCCTTGGTATCAGTACTTTAAAAGTTCTCTAAAGTGACCCTCATGTGTCTCTGGAGGAAAAAAACCACATGGTTAGACTGAGGGCCTATTGATACTGGAAATTTCTGTTCCCAGAGGCTCAAACTACCGTGAGACAAAGAGGCCGCTTTCCTGCAGTGTAATATTGGTTCCTAGTTGCGGGGTAAAAAAGGAGAGTTCCCTTGAAACGTGCCATCTTATTTTCAACTTTAGACTTGCGGGTTATGTATTTTTTTCCCTATAGGTAATAATTTTTCCTACAGGTAAAAATTAAGCAGCCCAAAAAGTCCACTCTGAGAATATCCACTGGCATGGCCGAGCCATCCACAAGGCAGCTGGAAACAGGGTTCAGCAGAGTGACCAGCTTCCTTCCTGCCCTGCAGCCCCTACCCCAGCAGGGGAACCCACTGCAGAGGTGCTGACCTCCTGCTTTAGGGGTGTCCCCGCATCCTACTACATGGGCCCGACTCCCCCCATCTTCCTCCATTGGACCTAGTTCTCAACTGTGGGAGACTGACTGACACACTATCTGTCTATTTGTCTATATATCTATCTCCTTTAAAGTTTACTTGCTTCAAACATACACATACTATAAGGTGTAAAACAGAAGGTGATCTTGGTTCAAAAATAATCAAAGATTCTATAAAATGCCTCCACTCCAGCCTCCCCCACCCCCCCATATAGCCCCAGGACTCAGGGGCAGGCAAGAGCCCTGGCTGGGTGACAGGACCTTGATGCTGCTCTCTCCAGCATGGCCAGCTACTCCCAGGGCGGAGTCCTGGAATCCTCACCCCACCCCTTTCTGGGTCTGGTCACTTCCCGTGGACAGCTCTAGAAGGACACTCTCCTCTCACAGGGT